GAAGGAGAGACAAGGTTTGCGGACGCCGGCAGCTATCTCGTAGTCTCCGGTACTCGATCGCGCATGAACTCAACGACCTCCGTGATCAAACACACTTGGATCTGCACATGAAGTGCAGGGTATAGCATGAGTACAACCAACTCAGCAAGTAACAGAAATAAATAAGGAACTGAGAAGGTAGTGACGAGCTATACAAATACAGTTCATTTTCAGTAATTCCAGCAAAGAATAGACATGCTTTCAAATTCGACAGTTCAAGTCAAATCAGTTTATATAGTTACAGTGCATGTAATCCGGATATAGAATCTTTCAGAAATTCCACAACAATGACAGATAACAACTAAGTGTATCAACAAATGAAAATAAGTACAGCCTCTCAGGGCAACAGACACTCAACTCGTCACAACAGCTCAATCACTCGGCTCTCATCCCTCAGTACTCACACTCAATAGGTACATGCGCTCACTGGGGTGTGCAGACTCCGGAGGGGCTCCTACAGCCCAAGCGCTATAATCTGCACGGACAACTCACGTGCTGCACAGACAACTCACATGTTATCATAACATATCAAGATCCGCACGGACAACTCACGTGCTACAGTATCATATCAGAATCCGCACGGACAACTCACGTGCTAAGTATAAACATCATGATTCGCATGGACAACTCGCGTGCTACAGTATCTATACCTCACAACCAGGACCTCGGCCTCACTCAGTCATGTACCTCTCTAGTGTCACAGCCCTCGGAAATCATAAAGATCATCCCAAACAAATAACATAGTGTCTTAACAAGAATCAAGAAGAGACTGAGATATGATGTACAAGTAAAACTATAATTGAGTACAAGACAACAATTAGCAAATAATTTGCAGGTACGCGACCTCTGCGGGTCCCAACCTTACAATCACATAGCCTAAGCATAATTTCTAACATGATATGCAGTCAAATCTCTATAACACAGAGAGAACAAGTAACTAGCAATAGTCTATTCGACTTTACAGTCTCACGGGACAGACCAAGTCACAATCTCCCACGGTGCACGCCCACACGCCCGTCACCTAGCATGTGTGTCACCTCCAAAATAGTCACATCATACCAAAATTCGGGGTTTCATACCCTCAGGACCAGATTCAAAACTGTTACTTACCTCAAATCGCGTAAAATCCTACTCCGCAATGCTTTTTCCCCTCGAATCAATCTCCAAACGCCCCGAATCTAGCCACAAGCAGTACGATATAATTAATGTAGGCTGAAGGACTCAATTCCACAAGCAAAATACGAAATTATAAGTCAAAATCCGAAATAGGCTCAACCTACTCCCGGCCCACATCTCGAAACCCGATAAAGTTATAAAACCCGAAAGCCCATTCACTCACGAGTCGAACCATACTAAATTTATCAAAATCCGGCATCATTTGCCTCTCCAAAACCCCAAAATTCACTCTCCAATTCCCAAGCCCTAATCTCCCAAATCTCACCTAAAAACCTCACCAACTAGGTATAAAATCAGTGGGTAAACACCATTATTGAAGATAATTAAGCACAAGAAACTTACCTCAGCAAACACTTCAAAATACTCCTCAAAATCCTCCAAAATCCGAGTTCCAAAATGTGAAAATAGTGAAAAATCTCGAAGTCTTCTATTTATAGGTTCTGCCCAGCAAAACCGCACCTGCAGACCTTCTGTCGCATCTGCGATGCCGCATCTGCGAAAATTCCATCGCAGGTGCGGATCCCACTTAAGCTCCCAGATTCTGCATCTGCGGGCCCTGCCCGCTTCTGCGATCCTTCCTACTCAGGCCTTTTTCCGCATCTGCGCCTCCCCTTCCGCATCTGCGGTTTCGCAGATGTGCTCCTAACCTCGCACTTGCGCTTCCAGTCCAACCTAGCCTTGCCCGCATCTGCCTCCTCCTCTTCGCTTCTGCGGGGCCGCACCTGCGGGCTCCCACCGCAGGTGCGAAACACCAGAACACCAGAAGAAACCAGCAATGCCTAAGTCCAAATTTGCTTCTGATGGGCATACGAAACACCCCCGAGGCCCCCCGAGACCTCAACCAAACATACCAACAAGTCATATAATCCCATGGGAACTTATTCGAACCTTCGAATCACTCAAAATAATATCAAACACCAATTATACCCGGATTCAAGCCTAAAGAACTTCTAAACTTTTAAATTCCACAAACGACGTCGAAACCTACCAAACCACGTCCAATTAACCTCAAATTTTGCATACAAGTCATATTTAATATTACGGACCTACTCCAACTTCTGGAATCAGAATCCGACCCCGATATCAAAAAGTCAACCCCCGGTCAAACTTCCCAAAAATTTGACTTTCGACATTTCAAGCCTAAATTAGCTAGAGACCTCAAATTCACAGTAGGGATACGCTTCTAAGTCCAAAATAACCCAACGGAGCTAACGGAACCGACAGAACTCCATTCCGGAGTCGTCTTCACACACTTCCGACTATGGTCAAAATCTTGAGACTTAAGCTTATGTTTTAGGGACTAAGTGTCCTGAAACACTCTGAAACCAAAAATAAGACCTCCCGGCAAGTCACATAAGCAGAAACAGATACGGAAAAAATAGTAAATAGGGGATCGGGGCTAATACACTCAAAATGACCAGCCAGGTTATTACAATTGTAGGGATGTTCAAACTGAATCCAAAAACCACACCAAATCGAAAAGTCAAACTAAATCGATTAAAAAACCCGATTAGGTTTGGTATTGAGTAAAAAAACTCGAACCAACCCAACATATAAATATATAAAAAAAATTAGAAAAGATCTAAATATATTTGGGATTCTCCCTCATGGGATGTAATATTTAATAGGCTATGAAGTGCATCCATATTTATTTACGTTAAATAATGAGTTGTACCATCACTTTCTTATTAAGTGTTATTGAAGTGCGCCAATCTCTTAATTTGTTCTTTCATATTCATATGTCAAAATCTGTTAAATTCTTATACCTTTTTCGAATTTCAAATGGTAGTTCGATAATTTTAAAAAATAAATAGAACATATCATTATTTAGTTAAATTAGATTAACCTTGAAAGCGTACATCAACGAAAAATTATTGTTAGACGACTAAGAAAATAACTATCATGTATTACTAAAAAGATTCTCCCATAAGAATATTTTATTAGATCATATGTTTGTCAGTTTTTTTAACTTTTACTAAACATATATTCACTTATCAAAATTTTATCTATAGCTTTAACGAAGTAAGATTGAAATAATATTCATATAATAAAAAATTAAAACTGAAAAATCCGAAAAAATCGAACCAATCCAAACCGATATAGTTGGTTTGGTTTTGATAAAAATCGAACCAACTCGGTCCATGTACACCCCTAATCACGAGAACTTAACTTTTTTCTTTTCAAAATTTTAAAAAGCTAGTATTGAAATTCTAAATTTACAAATGTTATATGTTTGGATTTGTATCAAAACTGGTAATTCAAAATTGAAAAATGGTGATGAAAAAATAAATCTTACGTACTTTCTTATTAGAGTTGCTTGCATGCTAGTGTCTAGAAAAAGGTGAAAGTTCGTTAGGCTTTAAATGCAGATGGTTTTAATTAATAGAATCATTTATAGAAATTAAATGGACAATTTACTCACTATTTATAGATTTTAGGTCATTCATTCTTTCGACTAGGATTGGATAAATATTCTAATAATATAAGATTATCTTTGTCGACTTATTTCATATAATAATAGAATGCGTTTTTGGGGGGTCTATAATTATTTCTGATCGCAACTAAGCATGTTATAGGGGGGAAATGGATAATTATTGATTTTACTGTACCAGCTGAGAGTTAAAAAAAAATGGTGTAACGTGGCAACTCCAAGTTAGAACCTATAACACTCTAAATTCTGTGTTGCTAGGCTCCCAATCAGGGGTGGGCATAATACCGACCGAACCGTGAATTTCAATTTTTTATTTTCGGTTTAAACGGTTATTCGATTGGTGTGCGATTTTTAAATTATTAAATTTCTACGATTTTGATGTTTCAATTTTCGATTAAACCGAAAAATCTAAATTTTGGACTCATACCCAAAATTTCCGGAAAAACAGATTGCTTTCTGAGACGTGAGTAGAAATTAGAGCCACTACCTGGCTTAAGAACTTTTAAGGCATAGAATAAAAAACTATGTGGGGATTTAACTCTTTTGGATCTAATAAAGCCAATAATTTCAGCTGCATAACCAACTGATATAGTGCATGCTCCAGAACACATCCCTGAGAATATTCCTGCACCTGAAGCACAATAGAAGATACATTTAAGATAAAAATTTTGAACCGTTAATAACCGAAAAACTAAATCGGAAATAACCGAACCAAACCTTGAAAAAACCGCACCGAACCGTAAATACTTTGGTTTGATTTGGTTATTAATATTACAAAACTGATAAACCGAACCGTACTTTCATAATAACTGACCGAACCGACCGACGCCCACCCCTACTCCCAACGGATATTTACGCCAAATCATACTAAGTTGTCATAGTTAAATATTTTTTTCGTTTCAATTTAGATAACACATTTTATTTATCGAGAGTCAAATTATGTGAAGTTTGACCAATATTTTAAAAAATATATATATATATATATTGATATGAGAAAAATTATAATTTATAGTATTTCTCGTATAGTTTCTTAAAATTAAAATTTTAATTTTAAAATATTGAGTTGAACTAATCAAATTTAGATTCAAAATTTAGTCAAATTGACTTTCGATAAGCGAAATGTATCATCTAATTTGAAACAGAGGGAGTAATAAACTAATGTGAAAATATATAATAGTTAACTTTATAATTTAGTGATAATCATGTTCAAAAAAACATATATTGGATTGATGTAAACTTCCGATGCGGATAAGTTGTTACCCCACCCTCACTCTTCCCTTTCACTACTAGTCATATTTAGGAGCTTTTTCCCATCAATCAGTCACCACACCACATCTTCCTTCTTCAAGCATATATAGGGCTATTAAAAAAGGCCATAATGATATGGTAGGACTAAGTGTAGTACTCGAAGGCAATGAAAATATTGGGACAAAAACAAATGTGGCTATTAATGCAACTGCAACTTGTGCTACATCTTCTTTTTCAAATATAGTTAACAAAGCCAGTATTGTGACGATCAAACCCTTTTCTCCTACCATTACAATATCCTCACCTTTCTCCACTCAAAACTCTATTGCAGCCATAGCCATGGCCACTACTAATTGTGGGTTTCTTGATTCTTGTTTTCTTTGTAAGCAGAAGCTCTTACCTGGCCAAGACATCTACATGTACAAGTAAGCAGCTTTATATTTCATTTTTTTTTTATACTTCGTTAGTTAAAAAAGATTCCCTTTTGGTGATTTGATTGGAGAAGATTGCAAGATTTGTTTTTACACTATTAACGTGATTTTAACTATTTATAATACATTGATAGAATCCCTCCGGTCTCATTTTATGTGAACTTGTACGAGAGGCATGAAATTTAAAAAGAAAAGAATGATTTTTTAATATGTTGGTGTAAAGCATGTAGTCATTTTTGTGGGTACAAAATTATATCATTAAAAGTAAATATGAAATTTAAAGTTAAAATATTTTTAAATATTAAACAATTAATGCGGTTCTTTAGGATAAACTAAAAAAAAATATATATCACAATGAAATGAGACAAAAGGATTAGCATTTTTTTTATAGATATACTTAACTTATATACATTGATAATGAAAAAATATTACACTATAAATTTATTTTAATTGATTATAACATGTCATTTAATTTATTATATTTTTGAGTTACTAAATTAGGATAACTCTAGATGGTTACAACTTACATGTAAAACTTGGACATCTTAATTTGATAGTATGAAAAATTATATGCTGCTACAAAAGTAAACTCTTTAATTATTGTCAAACCATGTTTAAACGAATTCTCAAATTTGACTGTGTAAATATTTTTTACTTAGATTAATATATGCATTTAGTTAAAGTTTAACGTGGAATGGTCTCTTGTTCTGAATTTACTTGCATCGCATGAACAGGGGTGACAGGGCATTTTGTAGCGTGGAGTGCAGGTGCTGTTGAGGTTTTTAAATTTTTAAGATGAAATAGTCTTAAAATGAGGGTGAATGGGAAATGGAGGGAAAATGAAATTTTTGAGTTAAATTTTAAGTTTTTCCCTCTTGACAATGAGACATTATCCCATATTGGAAGAGGAAGAGATTTTTGGTGGGTATATATATAATTGCTCTTCTTGTAGCTCTTAAAGAGTTAAGAAGAAAGCAAGCCTCGCGCCGTCGTCGTCGCTCGCTCGGCTTCGGCTACGGCTTCGGTTTCGGCTTCAGATCGATTGATTAATTAATTTTTTGGACCAAATTTATTTGTTAATAGTAAATATTAACGTAAGATTATCCGCATTTGTAACAGATATTTTCCAATCCGTGTATTGAGGGTGGACGTTTGGTCTTCTTCAACACTGGCTGCTATATATATGTGCAGCAGCTGTCAACAGATTTGGCTATACAATGCACTCCTTCCTCTCAGCATTTCCATACGATTTTCTGAGTTTCTACTCCTTCGTTCTGCATT